CCATTATTCCAATACTCTCCGAAATTGAAGAGGCCCGGGCTGTGCAGTATCGTTGCGAGTGTCTTGAAGCTGCTTGCTTGCGAGATCGTATGTGCAGAAAATCCACTCCGTAACTATTTCCTTTGGTTGTAATTGTTAATTTCCTGCATCATAGCTTCCATTGACCTGGTTAATGCGCTCAAGCTTTCTTGTCAAGATGCCCCGAATGGCTTCGCCTTGTGGCTTGATAAACACCTAGAACTGCACGATCCGATTATCCGTGCCGCCTCAGCAGCCCGAGAGACAACTCCTCCGAACACCCCGCCGTCTCAGACACCATTGCCATCCCTCTCCTCTCACAAGTGCTGGAATGATCAGTGTATGCATTATATTTATGGTTTCCCTACCCAGGCCGACCGCGACGACCATCTACGCACCCACTCATCCCAGTCGCCCAAGAGAGACTCTGGTCTTTCTGTCGATGGCAGTCCGCCTATGGAGCCCGAGAAGCTCTTTCCGGAGCTTGACTCGTCCGAGCCGTTCACCAGCACGGTGCCATTCCGCCTGCCACAGCCGGCTTCAATGGTCAATTTCCCTCCACTCACCACACAGGGGTTGTATGGTGAAAGGCATGAGCCTTTTGGAAGCTTTTCCTTCCCAAGTAGCCGGCCTGGAACAAGGCGTGGCTCGGCCGAGTCTGATATCGATCCTCTACTACCGCCAATGAAGCGGAGTAGAGTTGGCCATGCTCGTTTACAGTCCATCGGCGAGCTTCATCTCATGCGCAACCCGGAGCCTTGCTTGCGGTGTAAGGTTCTGCACAAGACAGTACGGACATTCTGGTTACCCCTTTTTCATTGTGGGATTTTTCAGCTAACGAATTCCAGTGTGATGCGGGTCATCCTTGCACGAATTGTATGGAGCCCCCAGCATCAGAGCATGAGGAACATTGGAAAGCTCTGGGTTGTTATCGAGGTCCCCTGGCATCGTTTGCCGACATATTCTTGTCAGGTACGAATATAATCTCTCCCTTACCCCCGTCTCCCAATGATTAACACATCCAAGGCCCAATGTCACCTCATAATGCAGGTACTCCTGTAGCATCACCTTTGCTACATCGAACCAACACCAACGAGTATTTACAAAGACGATGGATCTACGACACAGCTACTATCGCGGCTGTGGACCAGCAGCTCGATTTCCATGATAATTTTTGGTGGTCAGGTCTGATAGACCAGGAAGTAGGACGTAGCACGGCAGATCTGTCTCGAAGGGCGTCTATATCAGCACCGCCTGTGCTGTGTGCCCTTGCGTCCAGCTCAAACTGCCGAGATACGGCCTACGACTTGTTGGATCTACTAAAAGTCTCTGGATATATCTCTCCAAACCGAGCCGCCGAGGAGGCGGTTTACCCTTCTCTTTACCTTGCCAAATTACTGTTGCGTGAAACAGCTCAGTACGATATTCCTCGCGTTGATTCGGCGATCAGTGTGGGGGGGAGTCAGCGTGATGCGACGCCCCCTGAAGAGTCTAATGGGCATGAGCATTTGAAGATCATCTACCAATGCTTACTTCGCTACCTACAATCCCTTGACCGGACAATAGCTCCGGGGAATAACTTTTCTGTGAAGGACTGGCTCTCTGTGTTTTACTCACTTTGCATATTTAGTGTTGTACGAACAATACTCGTGGACATGACGACGATTTCACCACATAGTCTGCAACAGCATGTTGGCTCTCCTATTGAGGGCATTTTCCGCACGATGAATGGCGCCTACAAGGCCATTGTGGACTGTTTTTATGCATCGGGCCCCTCGCCTTTGGATATTGTTTCAAACGAACTGTCTACAGATGATCTGTCGTTGCTGAGTATCGCCAGACGGGTGATTAGGTGGGAAAGTTGGCCAGCAAGACGCATTTCATCGAGTTTCGATTTTCTAATGAGGCTTGGGAATGGCTTGCCCGATGACCCCGTCTTTAACGGGTTTATTCGGCAACGGACTGTCGACGCTAGTAGACGCGTCACGATCCAACTACCCCCGATCTCTACTGTTGAGACGGAGAGTGGGCATTCGGGTGTTTTGTGGAATCCATCAGGTATCATGATGGGCTCGAACGTGGAGAAGGAAGAGCCGGTCTCGGCATCTCGCCCCGAAGTGTCTTTGAACATCCCTCGAGTAAAGTCGAATAGATCTCGACGGCACACGGTAGGAGGTTCACCAACATCTCCACGCAACCCCCGACACATCGCTTCGCCGAAACCACTGCCAAAGTTCAGAACGTACCCCAAACTCCCAGTTCGCCGCGTGTACTGTTCGAAATGCAACGAGTATCCTGAGGGATTTAGGGGCGAGCACGAATTGAGGCGCCACGTAGATGCAAAGCATGCTGCAATGGTGAAACGATGGGTTTGCAAAGAACCTGACGTCCCTGACTCGGATTCACCACAGCCTGCAATACCGCTCTCCAAATGCAAGGCATGCTTAATCCAGAAGCACTACGGGGCCTATTACAATGCTGCTGCGCATCTTAGACGAGCCCATTTTAACCCGAACCGAGGTGGGAAGGCCAGTGGCGACTGGCCCCCCATGAGTCTCCTGAAGGACTGGATGCAGGAAGTACGACAGCCTGCCGGTGCAACGCCAGATGACGATACTTCGAGTGGAGGGGATGATCAGGAATCAAAATTAGCAAATGACGCTCACGGTGCGTTGGCGAGCTACGACCCGTCCCGTATGCATTTGGGGCCACCAGGATCAAGATATCAAGCATCGCCAGCTACAGAAGGCAGTTTCCAAGACAGCCCAACACGTTCAGCTGGGGCGGATTCTCGGAATAAATGCCCCCACCCTGACTGTGGTCGAGTGTTCAAGGATATGGCAGCTCATATGCTCACACACCAGGAGCAAAGACCGGAGAAGTGCCCAATTGATACATGTGAATACCACGTGAAGGGATTTGCCCGCAAATACGACAAGAACCGCCATGCTTTAACACATTACAAGGGAACCATGAGTTGCCCATTTTGTCCCAATGTTGGGACAGTTTATGAAAAAACATTTAACCGTGCAGATGTCTTCAAGAGGCACCTCACAACTTCTCATCATGTTGAGCAAGCTCCGCTAAACAGCCGAAAGCTCTTCGCTACAGAAGGCTTCAAAATGTCTGGCGGTAGGCCCGATTCGTCTTCGGGCGCTAGATGTTCGATCTGCCAGATTGGGTTTGCTTCACCTCAGGAGTTCTATGAGCATCTCGATGAGTGCGTCCTCAGTGTCATTGTTCCCAACTCAACGAGCAGGTCTGCAGTGCATGCCCCAACGGAGAAAGCCCAACACCACCATCACTATCATAAAAAAGAACATGAGACAGAAAAAGCCGGACCTGCTGCATACTCAGTGAGCCGTTCGTCTGTCATGACGCCTTCAACCACCAGCTCGACCGATACCTATAGGGGTCGAGGAGAAAGCAACGCTGCGCGTGGCGATAAAATGGATTGGCATTAAAATGGTTCGGGGGGGAATCTACTTTCGGTATTATCTAATGCTACGTGAAATGTATGAATGCATGAAGGAGTTTATGGCGTTGATCTTTGACTTTTCTCTTTTGGCACCATAGCGTTGGATTTTAGGACTCCCATGAGCATGCAACAATAGGATTATAATATACCTAGCCTCGGTTCATTCATAGCAATCAACCTCTCGATTATAGTAAAACTCTGTGATACTTTCACTGATATTAATGGACCTAATAGCCCAAGTTTGTCGATCGAAAACACCCACGTTGACTGGGGTAAAGTGAGTGTGGTCGTGTCCGGGTTTGTGTAATGCTTTGATGTCAAATTGACTGATGTTCTCAAGAGCGTATACCAGTTTTCTGTTATCTGCGCTTCGAGCGGTTATCAACACGATATTCGGTTGTTTCTGCAGGCTGACTATCGAGCTGTGATCTATAAATATGATTGTTGGGTTCTTCAATGATGAATTAATCCAATACTTCGTTTTTCGTAGCGTCTATACGAAGCTGAGTATGTCCATCTCCGTTGGCCGCCAGTAGACTTATTCCTTCTATATCAGCGTTCTCGATAGGAATGCGATTGGCTTAACGGCGGTTCTGGGTAGCGGTTTAACGAATTCCCCGTTATTATTTTTTATCTTCATCAATAATTCTTCGTTTACGTGGAAAACTTCTACGCTGATTCCCGAAGTAGATATATTGAAACCCATGAACAGGTGACGGTCCGGTGAAGTCGGATCATGCCATCACCAACCGAGATGTTTTGCGGCCTCGGTGAGACTTGGATCAAAGACCTCAGGGAGGGTCAAAACTTCCCCTACCCAGATTATCGCATGTCCAGGTCCATCACCGAGGTCGACTCGCCACCGATTGACAGCTACTGTTATCTTGAGGTCGGAGGATCTGCTCACATACGAGCAGCCCGAAATCAGACATTCAACAGTAGATAGCAGACCGGACACGGGCGCCAGCTATGGTTTTATGTCTTGGAGTTATCTTCGTTTATCTATTGCTCTAAATCCTGATTATCCAGACGAGCAGACAATATGCGGTGATACAGGTTGTTTGTCCAGCCTGGCAGATAAAGTATAGTGAACGAAGAATTACCCGAATATCGAGATTCGTACGAGAGCCCAAGTATTATCAGTATCAGGTATAGGAGAAGATATCTATGACACTAATAAAGATTGAATTTGAGATACACAAAATGCCATACAGCTTATTGACGAGTATGTGGCCAGTATTGTCAGATTATGGAGACCTAATAATAAATCCTAGAGAGTATATACTGAGTATTGTTTACTTAAGTTCCTGAATAGAAGAAGTCTTCAACTTTGTGTTTAATTACTTAACGAATAAATGCTTGATTCTATGAGTGTGATCTACCCTTTATGCTAGGCGAGCTGCCCTGCCCTTCTTGATATCTCAGCGTCTTTCCTCTCCCAGTTTTGCTTGTCATTTTCAGATTCCACCCAGATGGGTTCGAAACCTGAGGTATTCCTCCCACCATGGACCGCATTAGTCTGAGAGGGCGCGCCTATTCACCAATGCTGTACATTGGTCAATTACCAGTCTTGTACGGAACATTTAGGAAAATGGCACAATGCTTACATCTAAGGAGCCGACGTATCAAGCGAATGGTCGACGCCGCTGTCAAGACTTATATTCGAACCAGAGTCGAATACGCAGCCAACAAGCGCAACACCAAGGATCACGACAATCAGCTGCCAGCAAAAGTCGAAGCCTTGGCCATCAGCTACGTTGACCCATGCACATTTAACGGGCAGATAGCAGCAAAACTTGCGTTTCTGGGTAGAGTAGACCTCATGGTCATCGGTAACATGCCTGAAGCAGAGGCAAGAACCACATTCGTGCAAGAAATGCACTTCAGGCGCATTGACGCAGACCTCAAGCGTAAGGTGGGATCACACGACTACGAGAAGACTCGCACAAATGCTAGCTTTACAAAGCAATGGAAAAGCTCCAGGCATTCTCAGACAATGAGATCTTCTCGCCACGTGTTAAAGCAATTACAGAAGCTGTACGAACAATTGCTAGAGGTTTTCCTGAAGAGGGAATTGTTGTAATAGTATTATCTGTTCTCTTTCTCGATAATATCCTGGAGGCCATCACACGCTTATCCCAGGAGGAAATTATATTCCAGTTCAAGGTTTCAGAATATAAGGGAACTTTAAAAGTTCCTGAGCGAGCGAATATAATTTCAAACTTTAATAAAGCAGATGGTCTAACCAGAGTCTTGCTTGCGAGCTCTGGTGATGGAGGCACTGGTGTAAACATGTACGGTGCATCCCATCTGATTCGTACATCGCCATTTTGGACGCCTGTCGAAGGAGACCAAACGAAGGGCCGAGTATATCGGCTTAGACAGAAGCGCGAGGTTCATATTTGGGAAGTTGTCTCTTCGGGCGTCATGTTTGACACGTTGAGCGTCAGAAGCGATCAAGTTCAGTCGGCAAACTTCTTGTCTCGCATCACATCAGACGACACGGAAGCAGGCAAACTCTGGCCTCTTCAGATGAATATAAAAGGAGAGCCCTGGGAAAGGAAAGGCAAATAATTTGGCAATTCCCAGACACCCACCAACTTATCCTAAAACAATTGGTTGACGTGAGGGCGTGTACCACGAACGATAAATTTCCACACAATATCGAAAAAATCAACCCAATAATGAAAACAATATCGAAAAAATGCTGTAGAATAATTGATGATCGACTAATTATTATGGTATTTCTAATAAGAAAACGAAATGTGCCATGTTTTATGTCAGTCGCTTGTCTCTTGCGCGATGCGTCATCTCGAGATGACTTGTCTATAAGACTGTCCTGCCCTTTTCAATCCTTGGAAGGTCCCAATAACTGGAGATGAAATCTCATTGATATGCGAAAAGAAACCAATGAAGACATTCCTATCTGCCGAGAATACGGCGTAGTTATTAGGCTCTCGCATTTCTCTGTATTGACCCATTACCGGTAGATACGATCCTTGTGATGCAGAACTGCAACGTTTCTTTTGCTTTTCTCCGTCGGGTCAAGTCCAAACTCTTCACATAGCTCGTCAACTTCGCCAACCGAAAACCGTTCCCTTTTGAAGCTCTCATCGCAGTCAATGAGTGCATGGGTATCTCCAGGCAAAGGATGCTTCAGCGCCAGTCGGATGTTCCAAGTTGTCAATACCTGAGACTACAATGTAGAGATCTGTCACTCCATTTGGAAGGGAATTGCGAGTATGACCCAGAACTTTCCGTGCAACATCGCAATTGTCGTCACCCAGAGATGGGAGATGAACAAGCTCTCTTCCGCTTCCTCTCCGTATGTCATACGTGTGAGGTATGGCGAGGAGACCTGTAGTCTGAGCCGCAGTTCTGAGTATTGGCTTGCCGACGTCAGTAGAAGCAGGCGTGCTGAGCTTCAATGTAGTGTCTGGTGTTATGGAGCAGAACACCGGCATATCTGGTCGGCCCCAAACAAGAACATGGGCGGGTCTCTTTCTCATGTTGGAGATCAATTCCTCCCAACTCGTCTCCTTAACAGCGCCAATGCGAAGAGACCAGATTATGAGCAGGGAGATGGGGCAACAGGCGTTGAACTTATTGTCGTGGACTTGGCCAAGTTCGATCGTCCTCTGAGTTTCTCGTACACCCCTGTTGTGGTTCATATATGTCAGTAGAATGGTCAAGGCGGGAGGGCAAGGTCTAAGTCTCAATTTTCCAACTTACTTGGCCCCTTTGCAGTGTTTTAGCTTAAAGGTGGCCCAAAGACCTTCCCTGCCTTCCACAATTTTGAGGACGATGCGTACTTCCTCGCACCTAAGGCACTTTTCATCATCCAAATCAGCTAGAATATCACCACATCGAGCGGAGAGTGCTGATTGAATAGATAGATAGAGAACACCATGAATCGTGGTATCCCAATTCAAGGTCCCTGCACTCAAAGAATCTTCGAGAGTCGCAGTGTTCATTCGAAGGATGTCGTGATTTGTGATGCACAATGGTTCTTCGCGGTCACTCTCAAGAACCAAGGTACCTTCGTCAAGTAAGAGCTGAATCATAGAATCTAAGTGTGTCATGATTCAGCCACCAGCCTTCTAGGAGAGGAGAAAGAGGGTCTGCTCAACATACTAACCTTCAGTTTACATCCCTTTGTGAGAACAAAAGCTTTATATTTGAACTTCCAGTGCGTGATAACGCGTTGCACTCCAAGCTCAAGCGTAGACTTGGTTGGTGGGTTGTGTGGACCTGATCCACGCCCTTTCATGTGCCGAGGGACGATGTAGATAAATTGCACGATTCATCGACGGTTGGGACTGAATTGGGACTAAAGTATGTTAGATATTTTCATAACCTATATGATTGAGGAACATACTCGGTGACTTGTAGAACTGATGTGCGGAATGCTTCAAATCGATCGACCCATAGATCGTGGTTTTTCTGCTCATTGGCAGACGATGCACGGAAAGTCAAGGCATCCAAAGCTTCCTTGGCGAGGAGCCTGTCGCTCTCAGCAGACGCAATCATTGATTGCGCAGCTCCTCCAGATAGAGGGCCTCGGGAAGTGAGTGTCAGAATAACAAAGCCTCCAAAGGTGTTTGAATCCCAACTTTCCAATATAGGCGATGATATTGATAAACAATAGCAAATAATAATAACAATACTAAATAATCAATTAGTTATTAGTCAATGTTATTCGCTTTTTATTAAACAATAGGAAGCATTATTATGTGACTGACTACCACAATTCTGCCGATGTGACTTGCAGTCTCTGGTTTTCTAACAGTCACTCGCTCGGGAACCATCTTGTCGGGGCTGCTTTGACCAGATCTCGACCTCAGAGTCTGAACTTGTCTCGTATGGTGAGTCGGGGAAGAAATTTGAATCGAACTTGTCATACTCGAGTATCTGAAGCTCTTCCTCATGTGTGTTATCGCCTAAAGCATCCATGACGGGTACGCTTGGGCATTAGGGATTCAACAGCAGACTGGTGATAGACGTGATAATTGGAGGGCAATGGCAGAGCGGATGCTGAGGACGAAGAGGAAAAGAAGAAAAGGGAAAAAAAGAGAGAAACGCTTCTGGAGTTGCGTATTAAAAGCCCGGATTGGCGAGGAAGGAGCAGCCAGTCACCACATCTCTGGAGGTAAAGATGCCATGGAAGGCAAGAGCGCACCTGCGCCTGCCACTTTATTTTACCATGCCCACCGGAGAGAACAGTCAATCACCAACTGGCAGACCTCTGGAAGTAGAGTTGCCATGGAAAGCAAGAGAATACCAGAGAATAGCCAGGTACTGCATCTTGGTGGAAGTAGCAGGTCCCACTGAGAAAATGGCATACTGGAGATGACCATGAGAAGTGGCAAGGAGAGAAAGGCGTCCTGAATTGCCAAACCTGGATCACTCAATGGGAGCAGGCTATGCGAGTCGTGATAACAAATGGTAGAGGTACAGTATCTAGCAAAATGATCAATGAAGGGGTTTGTGAAACATTCTGGAGGTATATGAAGTATTGGATTGGCACTGGACAATTCCCAATGGTTTTTTTTCTAAGTAGCTAGCCGGTCATTCGTGTCTATTGAGTGCCGGTGGGATTTTCCAACCAACAACAGCACGACCAAAGCCCGGGTGGGTCTGCGATCGTGATATTGGCATCAGTCAAAGAGGAGGAATTACGACCAAGCTGCGTAGTCAGAACCAAAAACCACAATCAATTGACGCGTGTTTAGTGTTTGGTTGGGGACTCCCGCAATTGATCAATTGAATGAGGCCATCCTGGTCTTCATACCGGCCGAATTGGCCGTAGGATGACAAGTCAAAGATCACGATTTCAAGAATAAATAATTAGTAAAAGGTAAGAATTGTTGAATTCAATTTGGCTGGGCGGCTGACCTGTCTTATAACAAAAGGAACCAGAGCCTCTGACTAACGAAGTAAAACTCCACGCGCTCTCACCACCAAGACTCGTTGTTAAGATCGTTTATCCCTTGTGGAGACCAATGGGAAATTCGTCAGCCATGGACACATTGTATTCGACCCTGTCCACTGTAATAATCCCGGTTGCAGGATCACGCTGTGCTCTGTAAATTCAGGATATTCGAGAATAATGCACATAGAATGGAGCTTCGGGAGTGCCTGCATTATATCCATCAGTTGCGCCTTATACCACAACTGGAAATCGGTAGTAGTTTGAAGATGAGTCCAATCATCGTTATCAAACGAGTAAACGCGTAGAGCGATTGCAAAATGTGTGAGATTTGTACTGTGAACTATCGCGATGATACGACTTTTGAGTGTCGTCTGAACATATACCGAGTTAATAGTATGACTATTCACTTATTGACTGCTAATTGTCCAGGTTATTGTCTGGAATAAGTAGTCGAGATGAGTAATATATGCAATTGGATAATTGACCATACGAATTAATACTACCTTCAAACCTATATGCCTGCGTTGAATGGAGCCGACTACGGCTACGACAACATTTTACTGTCCGAAGAGTAGACCCCTTGACGAGAAACTGTTATACTGAGTTTCTCCAGTTGACGATGTGAACCGACCAGTGCGTCGAATCCTGACGAACTGGGACCAGTGAAGATGTGTGCTGCCTTTAAATGATCCGAGGAGCACTTCCTGAGAAGACAGGCAGTAAGGCAACTTTCTGCCTTCAATCTGATGTAGGTGATACTCAGCTCCCTTTGATCTTTGAGCAAGGGCTTCAAAGTACAGGACATTTGATATTCCATAGTTGAAATATCTATTTCTAAAACCTGAAGCCCTCTTATCTGATCTACAGCATCGAGTATCAAGTGGGGTAGGGCTTTATCCACGTTGTTTGGGACCACGGGAGTATCAATCGCTTTTGGCCAGTCGGTCCACTGGGTGGGTTCATGGGAAACTTCTAGGATAATGGAGGCTCTTCAAAAACACACTTCCAAAAACAGCCAGATACCGCATCTCGGGAAAATTAGCAGTCAATGCCACGTAAAGCAAAAGCACACTAGACAGAACCGCCAGATAGAGATAAGTACTTTGAATTTATTACCATGTAGTCTTTCGAATGCTTACCTAGGGTAACAACTTAACATAAGCTGGCGTCATTTTAACAATTAGAGCCAACAGTAGAATTCGTAGGCACCAGCGGACCATACATTCCTCCCATTATGCAATGACTCATCCAGTGTAGGTTCTAATTTCTTATATTATTCAGGCAGTCGATTTCAATACGCTTAAGCTTTAACCCCAGCGCGATCTACCTCATTATCCACACAGGCACCTGTTTATTTTATCCTTGACCATTTAACTATCGTTGGCGGTATATTTATCGAGATTTTTCTTGAGATTATGGATCTATCAACAAACGCTATTTTTGTTTCCGACATATTCGATAAGTTCGAACCAGATGACAGACACCAGGTCTCTAGAGAAAGAGTTCAAGACTTTATTGATAGTGGCCTTATAAGCAAGGGTAATTATTAGGATGTAGCGAGGTTCTATTCATTTGCTAATCATTATATAGATGCAATATTACAGAGGTATACAAAGTGCCTCTCTAATAAACTAGAAGCTGCGTGTGATAAGTCGATTACTATCGAAAATTTTAAACATACTTTCCAATATATATGCAATCATGAAAGCGGATGTAAGTTATGGCCCTATAATACTAATAATTATCAACTCCTAATATAAAGCAGATATCTCATCAGTGAAGTTCCAGCAGTTGATACTGGAGAAGCTGTCTGAATCGGGAGTGAAAGAACCATTTGAATACCCAGAGCTGCTATTGAACATACTTATTTTCTATGCTTTCTTCCCGTTTCCAGCATCATTTAACGAGTCAGGGGCGCCCAAAATAGATGAGAATGCATTCATACGCGCCATTTCTCTATTAACAATACCTCCCGTGGCCCGGATCGGAGATGATTCTCACTTCTCAGATGCGGTACCTGGTCTTCGCACTGCGACATGGGGTCCACATGATGGTTTCGGCGTTTCTAACCGTGGTCAAGACGCCAGCGATGTTCGCAGACGAATATTTCGGAGTCTAGCTACACCTCTCAGCCATCCGATTAATGGCAAGACAACAATCCCTGTACCGCGGTTCGTTTGGTTTGATACTGAACAGGGTGGAACCCATTCTGACGTCCAGACAATGGCTGTTATGGAAAAAGAAGATGAGAAAGATGTAGACATTTTGGATGTGCTTGTCCAGACAACACCTGGGGCTACAAGGAAGATAGCTAGCCCTCATCGGGAAAGCTATAACCTAGCACTGCCATTACTCCCAAAGTATAACAATGACCTTCTTGGACTCCAAATTCCTACAGCAAAGCTCGCCGCTTTTCTGAAATTGGTAGGAGAACTAGAGCCAGGGAGAGAGTCAAGCTTAGCTAAACTCACTGAAGATCTAGAGGGAAGCGAGGGAGTTAGTTATGAGGTGTTTAACACTATGCTATCAACTTATTCTGTAAGTCGAGATACTATTAATTCAAGGGGATCTACTTGGGAGCTTACTAACTCTTCTTTGTAGGAACTTCTCTTTGATGCTCTTATGAAGATATTTTGGTCACTCCAGATGTAATAGGAAGCTAGCAATAAGAGATTTAAATGTTTCTCCATATTCAAAGTATTCTATTGCCTGATATATATGTTCCTGTGTAAAGTATACTTTTCCTCCCTCAGGACAGCCTGGGCAGTCCACATCGATCCGGGTTATCCCTTTTCCTAGTACCCGAATCAGTCGTTCACCATCAGCGATAGACTCTAGTGGTAAGTTTGATGAAGGTTGTGCTTGTTTAGGTGCACCAGCGCGCGTCACTAATACCAGAGTGCTTGGTGCATTGTCTTTATTAATGGAGATATTAACTAGTAGCTAAAATTCGATGACTATGAGTGTGGAAATGGAGGCAAAGGCCTGTCGGCCAAGGGGTAGGCGGGATCGCGTGTTCTCGAATGGGTATGGTCGTATGTGGTGGATGAAGCTATCGCAAGGCTTATATGCCATGGGGAGTGATTTGGGCTCGCGTGACTGGGACGAAAACCTGCGAGTATGGGGCATGTACCTACTATGGCAAAAAGACTCTAGTTATACCTCAGTATACCTAGGAATACACAAAGATATAGGTAGAGCGGGGAACAACAACAAGAACAAAGAGTTTGGAGGGCAAGTGGGTGACATAAGGGATGAGACACCAAACTCTTACGCCTTCTTTTTGGCTATGTACCAAGCAAAAAAATACAGAAAGGCTTAAAAGAATATACTACCTCTTTCTTTAGCCTTGGAATTATATCGTAGTCTTTTTCTTGAATTTTTAGAGTAATTTGGGGCCAAGTTGTGGCGGATAAAATATAAAGTCTTGCTGGTAATGATGCTTGAAGTATTGGTTTGGTTACTCATCCCTTCTGTCACCCACTTGAAGAGGTACGAGGTCGTCACTCGACAACATCAAAGGCGTCTACTGCTTTGACAATTTCTGACCCCTCAAACTTATCCAGCGACTCCAATTCCCCAGACGCGATTTGCTGACCAAACGACTTTGGGGACGTGTTTTCATCAAGAGACCAAGATCGGCTTCCTGAATCTCTCCCTCACCCAAAACAGCTGGCAATAAGCTGGCGATTGACTGTATCGTTCTCGTCACCATGGAGAGTTCTGACGAGTCTATAGAAGATGTCTTCCTCCAAGATGACCTTGGCCCGTCTATCGCAGAACATGCGGCCCAGTGCCAATCTTTGATTCACAAGTATATGGACATGACGGAAATCGTACCAGATCCTACTATCATGGACGACCAGCGGGCACGCTTTTCCGGATGGGTGTTTGACAGCGATGTCTACAGACCGCCAAATGTTTCATTGGACTACAAACTGCGTTTCAGCCCCACGGCCGTCGATAGCATACATGAGCTCCTGGATATCATCCGCGACACCTTGTTATCGCGTGAGTAAGCATGGAAATACATAGGGAAGCATTGGAGATCAAATCTAACAAGATTCCCGCAACAGTGAAACCAATTAATAACCGACCTCCCGCAAGTTCTAGCAGGAAGAGACAGCGTACAAACTTGGAGATCACGAGGAGAGGCAACGATGATGCAAGCGATTCAGACAGCGACGCAGATCCAGCAGAAGAGAATAGAGTCAAGATCGTTAAGGATATCGGCGGAACAATCACGCGCCTCAACCGTCTGTCCAAAGCCGCTCGCGAGTCCGCCAAAGCCAACCGGGCTCGCAAGATCGAAACCTACAAAAATGACGAAGAGGCCAACAAGGCAATAGACGAGTTACGTCTCTACACCAAAAGCTACATAGAATTTCGATATCCGAAGGCGACGGAGGCTCTCCGTTCAGCATTGGTAGAAGCTAATGCGGTACGACTTCGACGCATGTATTATCAGCGATCCCATCGCAGGCGCATTGATCTGACTATTCAACAGCCGCAAGCTATTCCATTGGCCGTCCATCTCCCCAAAATAACGGAAAATGCCCCGGCTGTACGGTTTGCTCCGAACGTGCCGCCAAAGACTCCCGCAACTAGCAAAATGGCGGCTGCAGTACCAGCGCCCGCAACCAATGCGACCACTGCCCGACAAACCGCCGTTGCGGCTCTCTATACCAACCCCACGACGGACATTCCCGGGGCCAAATCCGTTCTTATCAACAACGGATTGTGGTTTCCTCCAATACCACTAACGCAGCAGTGCCCATACTGCGGCGTGATTGTTGAGTTCAAGAACACGTCCAGGTCGTTGCTTTCATGTTGGGAGTAAGTAGATCACTCTTGTCATTGTAGAGAAACATATGGCTAATATGTCCTAGGAATCATGTTATCGGAGATTTGGAACCCTTAATTTGTGTCTTGTCAAATTGTCTAGAACGGTGTCACCATGGGAACGGCAACAGTCCACTTACATTTGAAACGTCGAAGGCTTGGTTCGACCACATGCAGACTGCTCACCACGGAAGTACCTGGGAGTGCAGAGCTCCCTCTCATGATTTAATCGTATTTGAGCAAGAGGGCCAGTACCAGGAGCATTGCATTAAGGAGCATGGCTTGCCTGAAGCTTACGTTGGGACTTTCAGCAACGCCATGCGGAGGCCTGAAAGGGTGATGGAGTGTCCATTTGGCGACGATTTCCAACCCCTGGGAAAGTCCGAACCCTGCGCTGTCTTCTCGAGCCAAGCTCTTCAATCACATGTCGCTGGTCATATGATGGAGATTGCACTCCTTACACTGCAAAAGTTTTCCAATAATGATAACGAAAGTTTGGAAACATCGACAGCGACCAACAATCAGAAGATGATGGATTAGCCGGGGTCTGCGGCATCACACGCGCATCAATGTACAGTGTACTGGATGACGAAGATCTGGACTTTCAGAGCGGTAGTGCAGAGGCCGTGGATCGCGACGTGGAACACTACGGAGAAGACATCAATGGGCGGGCAACAGTACTTAACCTAGGGGACAAAGACGATTTGGGGATGACCAAGATTCACCAGGCTGTACAGGTAAATTGGAAATCCACATACAAACCGTGACGGTAGTGAAAAGGTAGGGGCAGTCGGTGCTTAGAGAGAATACGGAAGAAAGCCGCAGCAGCACAAGGAAAAAGCAACAAAGGAAAACCCCCTCTTTAGGTACTCATTTTCCAATTTTCACTCAATATTAGAATCTTGCCTCCCTGCTTTACCTTTCTCGTCTCCTTATTCTTCTTTCTTCCTTTTACATTATCATTATCGAGCACGACAGCAAATGGCGTCCGCTCCTCGTTTTCGACCTTCGCCTCCACAGCCGCCAGAGGCACACAAAGGGCAAGGAATGGAATCTGCCAGCAAAGGGACAACCAAGACCGACCAGATTAGCCGCCCGGTCCTCCTTTCTTTCGATCAAATGCCAGAGTGGTTCCAATGCGAGTCCAATCGGTGGGTTCTCCACGGCTACAGACCCATCTCAGGCTCAGTTCATACTTCATTCTGCAGCTGGTCATATATGCACAACGAGTCTATTAACATCTATTCTCACCTCATTCCTGCCGTTTTCTTCTTCTTCGGCGAGTGGTATATCCAGCAGTACCTACACGGCGCTGATCTTGTTGCTTTCTCTATGTATATGTTGACAGCTGTTACTTGTCTATCGTTATCCGCGACCTATCACACCTTACTAAACCACTCACAACGCCTAGAACATCTATGCTTGCGACTGGACATGCTCGGTGTAGTTATTTTTATACTAGGTGATCTTATCTTGGGAATCTATATAGTGTTCTGGTGTGAAACTATGACACGTAATTTCTACTGGTCTATGGTTAGTAAATCTTGATTTGTCTCCCCTCGGCCTGGATCTAATAACTACTAGATTGGGGTTTTTGGATCATTGGCAATCTTTACGACGATGCATCCCAAGTTTCAGGGCTCAAAGTATCGCCTCTTTCGAGCGTTGATGTTTGTAGCAACTGGCCTATGCGGTGTTGCACCCTTGGTCCATGGAATCAGTACATTTGGCATCTCGACAATGAAACAAAAAGCTTTGTCTTATACTCTAGCAAAATCAGGGTGTCTTCTCTCTGGGGTTTCATTTTATGCTGTAAGTCCCTTGATCTTAAGGACAAGAGAAACTATCCTTAACATCTTTATTCTAAAGACCAGGTTTCCCGAAAGTCGATATCCAGGCAAATTCGATATGTGGGGTTCGCACTCGATCTTCCACGTACTAGTAGTTTGTGCTGCCGCGGTTCAGTTGATGGGGTATCTAGATGCTTTTGAATATGCTAATGCAAATCTTCATTGCTCGTCCCGTTGAGCTGCAGACTTGACCTAGCTGTTATCTGCCTTGACAGTCAATTCGTAAGAACCTGGCCTTGCTGTCCCTCATCATGACGGGCAACAGCTGCAGGCCAAGCTTGGAAATGTTCTAGAGGGGAGGGGTTATTTTGGAAGAGGACGTCGCTCTAAACGGTTATTTAAGGGGCCTGTATATTCTTAACAAGTTATTGACACGATCGCGTGTTTTCGAATGGGTATAGTCGCACGTGGTGTATGAAGTTATCGCAAGGGGTTTGGGGGTATATACCACGGCACAACACCAAAAGAGAGTAAAATACCAGCAAAAAAAGATTGTAAAAAACATACAACAGCGGGTATTCGCTGGTCGTCACCGACCCAACTACTAATCCACCCCTCATCCGTTTAACTAGGCGAGAGCGGACGGGATCGCGTGTTTTCGAATGGGTATGGTCGTATGTGGTGGGTGAAGCTATTGAGAGGGCTATATGCCCTACCGCCAAACCAAACAAAGAGCCTGCAAAACAACCTCAACAACAGCGGGTACTCTTTGGACATCCCCGGCCCAATTCCAATTACGCCTCAGTTGCTTGGTTAATAGGAGAGCGGGCATCGGATAGCTCCATACTTGCCCCTTGGGATTCTAATCTCCCGAAGGTTACTTCCCATGCAATGTTCACCTTGGCCCCGCGATATGTAGAAATCCCCCCGCCTTCGTACCCCTCGACCCCACATATATCACCCTTCATCAACTATTTTCATTGTTTTATCAACATGGCACGCACAGATCGAACCTACGAGTTCGAAGAGGAAGTTTGCGATGCTCTAAAAAAGAACTCCACTGTCCGACTTCTGGTGAGATCATCAGGGCGCTTTGAGTCTCGTCAGCCAACGCCGATCAAGGATTGGGCAGCAGTTGGGGCGCAGAAGATCAGTCGAGCTCTGCTCAAGCAAATCGGGGACGAAGATGCAGCCTTTGACATCCAGATCCTCATGATCGAGTTACTTGATACGAAAACCCGCATCTTCTTTTGCTTTGATCTCTTTCTGAAGGAATGCGATGAGGCAGCTAAGCTGAGAATCAGCAAGAATTCCCAAGTGCCGACCTACTACATGTACATAAAAGGGCCGCGCTGCTTGGCTCGGAGGGATAAGAAGTCATCAGATTTCGTTGCACAAAGGCTTCAAGGTTATTTGGAACGAGTCAAAGACCCGATGCCTTATTTTAACGATTTGGAAAACCCTTCGTTTTATATCAATGGGTTCCGGCAAGAATCTCGGGATGCGGCACTAGCGAGTATTGAGAACCATTCGGCTTTAGATGGCAAAGATGAGGGAAAAGAAGAGGATTCAGGAGGGGCTTGATCCGTGCTATCTTCAGCTCGGCCCCAACGATACCCTTCATCAGTATCTTATTGACTCCTCCAATATCCATCTCAACCACGCGTCAATTTATTGCGCTGGTTCACCAGGCAGATCACAATATGGCTCTATCTTGACCCATAATTGACGATTTTTTATGTTATCCTTGATCCACTGGGCATGTTCAGGGTGCTCCTTTAGGAACTTGATATCCTCATCAAAAACAGGTATGCCAAGAATAAGCTTTGACATTATAAGTCGGCGATGAGCTACCAATTCGCATTCCCCATCTGGCCTTTTCTTCCGATGGAACTTTTTCCCCTCCCATGTGAATGGCCATTTCCTCAGTTTTCGCTGTATTTGAGAAGGAAGTTCCTGGTTAATGTGGACACTGGAAGCTTTATCAGCTTAATCCAGGTAATCTATGAGATGTATGACTTACAGAGACTCTCCTGTCCATTTATACCACAGCACCGGCACCTTTTCCTCCTCAACGGTGTGATCGTGACCGTGGTGGTCAATCAGGAAATAGCATTCGACGTTATCAAGACCGAAGTAATCATGATAGAAATACCTACGCTCTTGGGTGTTGTCAAAATTCCGTTTCCAAAGGTGTTGGCAGATCAAATTGTCAATGAAGTCGAGTTTTTCCGCTCGATCGCTGCCAGGGACGAGGTGGGTGATTGTCTGTAGCAAAATCCGCACCTTGCCGCTGGCGCTTGCCGTAGGCTGTGGCACTGCAGAGCTCTCCATGCTTAGTTGGGTGACGACGGTGACTGCGGGTAATTATTGTATGTAGGCCGCATCCGAGATGGTATCGGAGGAAGCCTACTAAAGGGTCAACAAGTAGATGATATGCTTAGGAAGAAAACGAAGCATGGGGGTATTATTTATCACGGTTAAGGGTACTTTCTTGGAGATTCTCTCTTAAAGTTTTCAAACACAATGTGACTCATAGACTCGCAATGTGTTTGACTGCCTCTATCATATATACCGTACATTAGCTTGCGCCACTGTCTCAAGCTCTACCTATCATCACCGAAAGGGTGCATGTAGGGTGACGACATGACGCGTTTTCGAATGGCTATGTCCAAATACGACAGCGCACATGCATGATGCACGCTATATTCTTATCTAGCGTAGAGAGAGAGAGAAGTATTACAGGAGTGTGGTGCAGACATCAATTTCCCTAGTATCTGGAAGCGTCGCTTGGGTTCGGCCAGCAGTATCTTTGAATGCCGAGGTAGTCTAAGGTATCAACACGCGAAGACTGGCACATCTCTTCTTCTCTAGACAATGAATAACATGAGAAGAAGGTGGGGGAGAAGGGATGTCCAAAAAGAAAACCAGACGAGCATTGTATGGGTATTTCGGGTCATTCATAATGCCGCCTTTATGATTATTCAGATATCACATTATTTGCAAGTGGAAATCACTTCCAGACTTGCACGAAACGCAATACATGCATTAAACTCTAAATACGAAAGGGAAATACGACACAATATGGTAGATATTCTGCAGCCCGTGGCTACATTTGATTTGTATGACTATGACTATATACGTTCAACAGCTTTTGAGCGGAAAATCGTGCTAGTAAATGCTACCCAAATAACTCCAAGTGAAAGCAATATTAACGAACAATGATATGCAGAGGCGAAGAAAGGCCGAGACCCTTCCTCGAGAGGGAAATCTGGCGGTTACGTAGTCTTTTCAGACAAGACACCCCCATTTCCGCCCTGAGACGGCGCCGAGCGCATGAAGTAGTCGTGGATTTCTTGTGTGAATTCTCCATCCTCGGGCATTCCGTGGTGGGCGTCGCCCTCCTCCTTGGGTCCGCGCTCAGCCTGGACACGCTCCCACTCGGAGCGCATATCCTCAACCTTAGACTGCCAGTCGAGCTTAGGATCATATGACTTCGCATCGCCCATAATTCTCTCCCAGAGACTAAGGTGATGAGGGTGGACAGCAACACCGTGGTAGTCCTGGGGTTTTCCAGCAACAATGTAAGCCCAACGACGCTCCTGTTCCTTGAGGTCCAGACCGGTGGTGTCTGGGAGGAACATCCAAGTGAGAAACATTCCAGCGAGGCCGAACCAGGGGACTACGTAGAATTTCGTCTGGTCGTCAATGTAGGCATACAAGACAGATGCCAGGAGAGCACCGGATTTGCCGATACAGGCCGAGAAGCCATGAGCCGTCGCTCGCACAGGAGTAGGGAAAACCTCTCCTGCCACTAAAAATGTCACACTATTGGGCCCAAACTACACGCGAAACGTCAGCGTTGTGTCCATGAAACAGCTTTATCCAATATATCTTTTTTTTGTGGTGTTGTGGTTGAAAAAGGGGTTGGGGGGGGGGGGGACTCACTTGGTTGAAGAAAGACGAGATAAAGTACATGGCCTGAAAAGAGTGGATCCCCTCGGGGGAGGTGTAGTACTTGTAGCGGAAGGCGGGAATGACAAACATAAGGAAGCACATGAAAAATCCAACCTGCTGCATCATCTTGCGGCCGTAGAATTTGTTGTCAATAAGGAGCGCGGCGAGGTAGTAACCAACCATGGAGACGGTGATGTTGACCAAGTTCCAGGACCAGGTAGTCACCAGAGAATCAGGGTTGTTAGAAATGACCTTGATGAATTGGCCCTGGAATAGCTTGTTGCCGTAGAAAAATACGTCGTTGCAGAACCAGGTGCCAGCTGTGGCCAAGAGTCTGCCGCCGAAATGCTTCACGCAGTACTTGAGGGCGGTGACATCATATCCGGTAACTTGAGAGCGGCTCTTGGCCTCGGCCAGCTTCTTGGATGCATTTGGCATCTTCCAGGTACGGTAGTAGACGAGCCAGGCAGTTCCGACAGCGGGGAAGGCAAAGGAGAGACGGAACGCATATTGGGCGGCAGAGGTCGAGTATGGGGGACTACCATCGCCACGATTGAAGATGACGAGGAGGACAAGGAGGAGAACCTGGTTAACAAATTGACCCCAGCCTTGCATCAGGAAGGCCATGGTCACACGGCGACCACGGTGCAGACGGTCCTCCTTGGTGGAGAGTCTTCCGGAAGCGACAGCGTTCTCAAGAGATGAGGTGGCGGTAATGGGATACTCGCCTCCGACACCCAAACTGTAGAAGAACAGCGACCAAGCATAGCAGATGACCCAGCCCTGGAGGGTCAGACCCCAACTGGCTGTAAGCATGAGCAGACCGATAAACATGATGAGGGCATCTTGAATAAGACCCCAGCGACGACCAACCCAGTCACCGAGAACCTAGAAGCCATTTTGTCAGTAAATTTGGTTCAGTGGGCAGGAAACTAATGCCAATGCCCCTCGTCTTCTCCTCTCTCGCCCGCTCTCACTCTCATCTCAGACATCTCCCCACACAGAGAAGACGTCAAATCAAGCGAATTGTGACAGATCTGAAAAGGCGGGGACAACAAGCATGGGAAACAAGCATAAAACTTACACCAACACCGGCCTGCCCAACCATGATGCCGATAATCTCCATGTACGTCACGCTGGCCGTCCAGTTCTTAGTGCAGACCTCGTGGGTCTTCCAGCACTGGGGCCACACCTTCTCGAACAGGGGCTCGAGGTTGCCGATGGAGAAGAGGACGTAGCCCTCGAGGCCGAGGCCGGCGCCCGGGATGACGGCGTTGCGAAAGTACCAGCCGACGGGGGACAGGGGGTCCTTCTTCATCATGCTGCCAATGGCCGCCAGCTCCTCCTTGGCGGCCTCGCGGTCGACCTTGGAGACGAAGGAGAGGCGCTGGGACAGGGGCAGGTCGGCCCAGTAGACGCCCTCGGGGGTGTAGGAGTCGTCCGGGCGCGTGACATGGCTGAAGATGCGGCGCTCCTCTGGGCTCGCGTTGGGGTCCGGGTAGGAGCCGGGGTTGCTCTCTGTGGTGCTCTGGTCGTCGGCCTGGGGTCCGTGGGGGACGGGGATCTCGCCAGCCACGGCGCTGTGGTGGTGATGGTGATGGTGGTGGTGGTGCTCCTGGATGGCCTCTGAGTGGTCACCCATGATCGGGATCTTGGGAGGAGCCTAAGCTTCCCTCGACCTGGTTTGCTGGCGGGAAATTAAGAGTGGCCAATGGTGATGCCCCGACTCGACAGGGTGTGTAGGCCCGCGTGAAGTGAAAAAACTCAATGGGTGGGAGAAAGGTACCCCGCCTGAGTTGTTGGCTGTTGTCCGTGGGTTTCCTGCCCGCCTGGATGGCTGCAGTAACTGGCGGAAAGGACTTGCCGAGCTGCCACGGATTTCCAGAGGAGCTGATCCTTCCAGAAAGACGAATGAATAACAGAAATGCCAGAAAGAGGGCGAACGGCACAATACACTTCACTCGAGTACGTACTGAATAAGGTACGTGGAGTCGAGGGTAGTGGAGGTTAATGTGTGGCCCTCAGAATAGAGTGCAATGCAAATCTGCCGTCACTTCCGCTTCCGATCTCTCTTCTGCTGCATGCAAAATGACGAGAGAAGAGACGTCAAAACACAGCAAGGGACGAGAAAAAAAGAATAAGAAGAAAACTCTTGTCGATTCTAGCGGTTTACGATGGAGTTGCCCGTCTTCCTACTTATATAACTAGACCTCCCCACGACATGCCGTTGGATTCAACCAGACCCTCTCTCAAGTGAGGTTCTGCATCCCAGAAAACAGCCAGTCAGAATCAGATTCCAGAGAACGTGGGCAGAATCTGTGGCCAGCAAGCGTCGAGGAGGGTTCTGCAGAAGGGCCGGGGCTGGCCCTTCATACCTCTTGAAGAGGCTTACTCGAGTCGGCCGAGGGACCCCCATATTTCCGGTTTCATTCTGCCCGGAGCAGGGGGGGAGGGGGGATGATGTAGTAGCTCGCTCGCAAGAGACGGCAGACTCGATACGACATGGCCAGAGTACATAATATGACTGGCAGAGTTCGGTGCTTGTGGAAGGTGGCGTGCAGTGACAAGGCTCCAGAAGCACAGACAGACGATCATGCACCGTCTCAGCTGGCCTAGCCCGAAACGGGGCGCACTAGGGCCTGGCGCTGCCGTCTCTGCCGTGCTTCCGGCACTGCTCCTCCCAGCGTAATAAAAGGTCGACAAAGGCCATGCCGTGTCCCGAGAGCGCGGCAGCAGCTTGCGTAAGAACGACGTGAGCTGGGAGGCCGCCGTCGAGCCGAAGAAAAAAACCAATCCACTGAATCGCACGTTGCAGAGAAACGTGGGCTGCGCGACTCGCCATTCCAGCCCGCCTGCGCTTGCTCCCATCCACATAATGCCTCTGCAAGGTGGATGCACGCCTGCAGCCAATGGAGATGTGACTATCCGGAAAGGGAAATTGGTCGTGTGCTCACTTTTTGAACCGTCGAAAACTTCACCTCTCGACCCGATGCCCTGCCTGTCATCCTTATTCGCTAGACGTCCCGTCTGCTGCTCTTGGCACGTATTCACTCACTTCTTGACTCCATGTCTCATCTCGACGCACCGGACCGGCCTCTTCAGATCAGTTCATATATTAATAGCCCCAAACCATGAAATAACGCCTAGTAAGGGAATCAATCCTATGATGTATCTTCTCAATTGTTTTTTTTTTTCTCTTCTCTTTTTCTCGTCATTTTCCTTATTTTTTTTTCCGCCTTTCGTTTTGTTCCTTGCCCGCCGCCGACCTTCTCCTCTCCTCCCATATCCTTGCGTTCCAAAAGAAGAAGAAAAAAAAAGAAAATTGCTCCGCTTCTCGTGCACGCGCGCTATTATACATATGTGTGACCCGAATCGGGGGATCCACCAATAAAGTGCCCTTCCTGCTATCCCGGACCAGGCCGCCCTCGTTCCTTCAACGGGCAAAGACTCGCTGTCAAGTCTAAATGCCTAATACAACGCTTTCCCCCTCTTGCAGAAGAAAAAAAACATCAGGTGACATCGAAAGTAACATCATCCTGCGTCCAGTGCAGGGGTGCGATGCAGTTGCCCATGTATGTCTGAGATGGGACAGGCAAGTAATACCAAGCCAGGTGCTGAGTAAAAGAATAACGGGAAAATGTGTGGTAAAATAAAGATGACGGAAATGGAGTAAATGAAGAAAAGGGGCCTCGCGTCCGACTACACGTGAAATGAAATGGTGATGCTTGATTCCTGCTTGGACCATCTAGTCGAGTCCCATTTCAAGTCTGTGCTTGACTGAGATGGACCGCATCAGCCGGTTTGAAACATTCTTTTCGTTCTGGGCCCCAGTAAAACGCCGCGCTTTCGTAGACAAAGGAAAAGTCGCATAAAAAAAACAGCCTCACTCTAAAAAGTCGTCCCCATCGTTGACAAATAGTGGTGCTTAAACACCTCATGTGCCTCACTTTCCAATCGGGCGAGGGGTTGCCTCGGCGCTGTCCAGCCGATTGCCTCCATGTTGCCTGGGAGTCGCCTCGACACTAGATCCACCTTCTTTGGAATCGTCGGTTGCTAATGGCGGAGTGTGCGCTTCGACGGCATTCCCCGTTTTAAATTCAAAGTCGGTCTGGTCAATCTCTTTGGCAGGCGTTGTGACAACCTGGGTCACGGCCTCGGGTGTGCTTTCAGAGCCCACGGCGCTATCGTGGCTGTTGGCTCGCATCATCTCGATTCCCAGCTTCGAGCTGGGAAGTGATTGCTTTGTCATGAGCGGCCCGTTACTGCGCTGTCGTTGCTTTTCACTACCAAGGCCCAGTTCATCATCTTCGTCGTCCGCAGACTCCGTGCTCTCACTGGACGTCTTGTCGAGACCCTCTGGTTTGGGTTTGAGCTTGCTAGGCTGCCGGACCGGCTTCTCCATCTGACCTGGAGCGGACCGCTGCATGAGCAAGTGTGGGATCGCCTTCGGGGACCCATCAGATCCCGACATGGTATCTGGCTCGGATATTCCCAAACCTCCCTCTTCCCAGTCGCCTGTAGTTTTGCGACTGAGAACCATGGGAATGTCATCTGTAGTTACAGACTCCGTGTCTCCAAACATGCTCGAGGACACAGAGTCTTCCCTACTTGACAATAATGCGGACCCGAGGCGTCCCGCGTAAAAGGACGATCCTGACATCGGGCTTTCCTCGTTCCGTGAATCTGATTTCCGTAGCCCAGATGGCACAGGGGGGTGTGGTGGTGGCATCGATGATACCGAGCTCTGGCTGGGGGAATCCGGCCTCCAATGGCAAAGACTCCGTAGAACCTCTGTAAGTTTCGAGGAGCTGATGGGCTTCTCAATCAGCGAATCAAAGTAATGCGGCGCCTGCAGCTCCTTGAGGTAGGCAGTGATGGCTACAATGGGCGTGTGCGAGTTGGCATTCTTGGTTTCTCGGATCATCCGAGCCACATCGGCACCATTGATTTGCGGAAGCTTGTACTCCAAGAAGATGACATCAAATTTGATCTCGCTCATCGAGTATCGCACCGCCTCTGATCCATTGGCCACGGAGATTGTGCGGCATCGAAGCTTCTCCAGCAGTTTCTCCATCACCATACGTGCCACGGGATGGTCCTCGCAGATGAGCACATCAAGCGGTCTAAATGCTGGTCCGCCGTCAAACACAATTTGGGAGAGCCGACGAGAGCTTTGTCGCCTCCTCTGTACCCGTAGCAGGGCATTATGCTTGTCTCCTTCATTGTCAGACGAAGATGGTGACATGTCAAATACTTGGCTCCTGCGGCTACGTCGGTGCTGCAGGATATCAGGCGCCACTGGGCTCCCTTCTTGCGATCCAACAGTGAGCGACCTCGACCGACTTGCAGGGGATGCCTGCTTTGGCGTAGAAACGGTCTTCTGAGGTGAAAGTGGGAACTGGCTCTGTCCTGGTCGACCCTTGACTGGCGAGGCAGCAACCGTGGTTGCTGCCTTCTGTAGACTCGGTGGTACTTTAGGGATTTCAAGGCTCGATGACGGGGGATGTAGAGAAGTGCCTGATTGATATGAAAGACTCGACGAGTTGCTCGAAGCTTTCCGCCTCCCCTCTGTTCCCTGCCCAGCCACAAACGACACTAACAAGGGCGATGATGGTTGAGAAACCCGGCTCGGAGAGGATGTAGAGTGACTGTATCCAGAGGGGGATTGAGGCCGATTGGCTGCCTTCGCATTGGACTTTGTCCTGTGTATAGGATTCGCCAGAACTGGACTTCCCTCATGAGAGGGTCCTACAGCTGACATGGGTTGGCTAGCTCCTCCAGAGCTAAGAGACTGCTTTCCCTGCGCTGCCAGAGCATCTTGCCTCAATTTTTGGATGAGATCTTTGTTTGCCTTCTCCAACACAGATAAGTTCTTGAAGGCAAATGTTCCGAAATCGTCGGCAGGTACCGGCTCGCTCAATCTCCTCGATTTTGAATCTCGCACGTGAGGTGGAATGTGGAGAGGCATCAGTTTGCGATTCATCGAGTTCACCTGTGAGCGCACTCTTGAGAGGGCATCGTGAGGTCGTTCAGAGTACTCTGGGCCGCCTCCTGTGGAAGAAGGTGGGGAGGTTTGGTCCTCCATCTCCTCGGCAAATGACTGAAGGACAGCGCCTCTGGCATCGAAATACTCCGTGTCTTCAGGATCCTCGGGTTGGGGCACGAACTGAGCTTCGTCCTCTAGGAGCGTATCCCAGTTCACACCTTGGAACCACGCGTGGTTTCTGATTTCCTCTCCGCCAGACGGGAATAGTTCTTCGCGATTCGATCCTAATCGCTGAGGCGGGTCCATGCAGAGAAGCTTGTTGATAAGATCCTTGGCCTCTTTAGAGATGGGTTCGCACTCATCCTCGTCTGGCCACTGAATATTGCGAGCCAGAATGTTCTCGAATACTTCCTCGGCCTCGCCAGCGTGGAATGGCGGGATACCGTATAGAAACTCGAACATGATACAACCAACTGACCACCAATCACTGGTCTCGTCTTGCTTGTCTCCCTTAATGGTCTCAGGGGCCAAATAGTCGGGGGTTCCAACAAACTTCCGGTTTGTGTCCTCCGGGTCAAACAAGGCCATGGCAGGAGGCATCATATTCGCTTGATGCATCGAGTTCCGGTTGGGGTTGTCTGCACCAGAGCGTACTCCACCACCATACATGCCCGTCAATTCAGGAGATCCATGCATAATGGCTTCTTCATCGATGGGGGATCTAGCACTTGCGAGCGCCGAATTGGGCTCTGTGTCATTCAGGGAAAAGTTTGTGAGCAAATGGGTCAACGTTTCACTGCCACCGCTATCGCTTCGACGACTTGTCGATACCCTTCGTGGTTCTTGTTGAATAGACCCGAGGTTGAAATATGAAGGCTGGGTCAGACTCCCGGCATCTGCCCCCATATGGGGCGTTGTGCCTGGCGATCCTTGGTTATGACCATGTAAGTCAAGGGATGTTGATCGTGAGGAAGCTATCGATGGTGCTCTAGCAAATGGGCCCTGCTTAAGAAGGTCTGGTGTTGCGTCAGCGTTGCCACTGTCAAGTGCGCGCTTCTGTCGCCCAACCAATCCCATGCGCGAGAGACCGAAATCTGTCAACTTGAGGTGGCCCTTTTGATCAATCAGCAGGTTGTCCGGCTTCAGATCACGATGGATGATGCCCCTGCTGTGAAGATGCTCGACACCAAGGACAACTTCTCCTAGGTATTTCTTGACCCATTCTTCAGGAAGCCCACCCAAGACTTTAATCAACGACGCGCAGTCACCGCCGTTTAGATATTCCATAACAAGATATAGATAGTCTTTGCTAGAGAATGTCCAATAGAGTTTGGCAACAAATTCACTTTGTCCTTGCCACATCATGATGGCTCGCTCTGCCTTGACGTTACCAACCTGGTTCTTGGCAACCATGTCTGCTTTCTTCAAGACCTTGATGGCAAAATATTCGCCGGTCGATTTCTTCTTGGAGAGGTAAACGCTGCCGAAAGCACCTTTACTGATGGGCTTGATGATCTCGAAATCTTTGATGGATGGTTGGGTAGATCGAGCTTGGGGAGGTGCTTGGCTAGCATTGAGTCGTGGGGAAGGCGGAGGCTTCATGACGAAATCTGAGATTGCCGCAGACGATTGTCTTCTATGATGACGCGTAGGGTGCATGATGGGTGAGCTGAAATCGCTATTTGGAAGCATAGGCGAGCCCTCAGGCGAAGCTATCCCTTCTTGAGAACCGCTTTTGCCTCTTGGCTTAATTCGCAGAGGTGATGGGGGAGGTTGCGGGCGGGAAGGAGACTCCTGTCGGCGTGGTGAAGAAGTTCCTGGGAGAATTAAACTGCGGCGATGATGCTGCCGCGAGCTTGCAGCCCGCCGAAGGTCGCCGAATTCGGAGATGGGAGATTCAGTTCTGGTCGCTGCTCGTGACGCAAGTGAAGAGGATCTCATACTGCCTTCGCTTTCCACTGTTTCGGATTCGGAAAGACCAGAGGCTTCTCGGGGGATATCACGGGGCTGTGAGCCGGACCCTGGACCCCCAGCATAGGACCTCGGTGTAGCACATTCTTTCGGGCTGCTTGACCTAGTAGACGCCACGATGGAAGATGGCCGTGAACCTCGGCTAACCCTGGACGACAGATCTACTTGTCGCAATGCTGCTGCAAGAGCCGAAGGGCTATTCGATGGCTTTTCCGCACCAAGTTCCCCCAGTCGTCCACGAGGCTTCTCCAGTGGATCCAGTGCCGCGACTTCATCCGGCACTTGTGATGAGACTCCTGGGCCAGGACCTTGTTGCACATCACCCAACTCCATATCCAGTTCATCGTCATCGCATTCTACTACCCCTGATTCTTCCTCGCTTTCGGTTGAATCACTAAGCTGACCGGCTGCTATTCGAGCAGCTTTGCGCATTGCCTCATCGATGCAATCTTGTACAAGCACAGCAATCTCTATACGAATCCGCTCTGCATATTCAATAATCTTTCTATGTCGGAAAACGGCATCGACTTTTGCCCTGGCGACGGTTTCGGTGTCAGCGCAGAGTTGAGCAAGACCTTGCTCTTGTTCAAGCGTGTTCGTGCTAGGGGATTGCCATTGCAGAACCTGCGATATCCGGGACTCTGACTGTGGGGACTGTGTCCGGAAATCGCCACTGTCTTGTTTGGATGAGGACTCTTTGAGCGACGGCGTACTGATCTCGATGGCGGTATCACACAAGTCCATCAAAAGCTCGACAATGCGCGCTTGGGGACGTCGTACAGCGAATGAGCGCCCCCTAGTGTGCCCAAATCCACCTGAGCGCTCTCGAGATCGCGCCAACGACGTTCCAGGAGACGACTGTGTCGACGGTGGCGGTCCAATGGGCATTCCTTTGTACTCTGCAACCGTAATAGTCGACTGTTCGCCAGTCATTGAACGACTCTGGCGGGCTTCTAGAGCGTCGAGTACCTTGACAATAGCGTGACGGTGTTCTGTCAGGTTTTCCTGCGCCATCTGAACATCCATCTCGGCTGTATGCTCCTGGAGGCAGAGATCGGTGTGTTTCTCGAACCACCAAGGCTGAATTTGGCGTTCACAAATGCGGCAAAGGACAGCCGGCGGGGGTTTCACACTGTCGAGTTCGTCGTCGACAGTAAATTCAGCAAGCTGTGTCAGGAAACTCGCCAATACCTCGGCGCCGGATCCCAGTGAATCAACAATGACATCAGGGAGGTCGATTTGAATCTCCTGGGGTGCGGTCCAAGGGCGGATCATCCACATAGTCTGCTATGGGTTAGACTTCAGAGCCGAATCAAGCAAAAGAAAGATGAGGACCTACATGACTTTCGCCGCCAGAGACACTGTCGTACACCATGATCCCCTGTCCTTCAAGGTCGATTACTTGTGGCTCGACATGGTCTGCACCTGCATCCGTTGGGCCATCGAGCAGTCCTAACTTTGAGAGAGGGCCTAGCTGGACAGCAAAGCGTACCCTGTGACTTCGGGAATCATCCCGCTTCATATATTCCACCACTTCGGTAAATACATTTTTATTATCACTGACGACTATGTCAGCCATTGGGACGCCCCGGAGACTCTCATGCCGTGTTCCGACAACTTCGGTCCAGGATGGGCTGGCCCATCGCACGGTACCATCGAGATTGAGGTCGACAATGGCATTCAGCGTCTGCTCGGCGGCTTCGCGTAGTTCTTCACATTCTTCTCGGATATCTTGGCTGATGGATCGTTCCATAATGGTTGGTTGAAGACGTAGCGAGGAAACAGCTTGCGGAGCTGGAGAGGCAGATTGCCGGTCCATGATGGAAGTGTGTGCCACGCTGGCGCATCCAGAGAGGTGAGTTGTTTGCACGGCAAGCCGTAGTGAGCCGGCCGGAGTAGAGCGATGTGTCTCCTTCCTAGTCGAAAATGAATTTGATAGACTCGGGGTCTGGCAAAGACGCCAGGACTATAGCTGCCCGAAAGCTGGATACATGACTGACAACGATGCACGAGCGTCAATGTCAGGGTCGTGATCCGGTCGAAGCGTCTTCTTCCGGGGGGTGGACGAGCGCAGAGGAGAGTCGGCAAGAAAAATCACACAGCAGACGAGCCGTTCGGGGTCAATGGTAGACGCAGTGGCGGAGACGGGCGGCTTCGCAGGCACGCTCACGCCAGCGCAGCGGAGGCGACGGGGTCGAGGAGTTTCGAGCCAGCTTGGAGGATGGGCCGCGGCAGCACTCGGACAGGTCGGCCTGCAGGCGTGAAAACCACAGGTGATTAGGCTGAAGGTGCTAGTTGGCGCGAGGAGTCTGAAAACCGCACAGCTCGCCGTCCGAGGTGGTGAGGGCAAGAGACGCAAAAACCATGAATCAATCCCGACGAGCACAATTAGGACGATGGGGTTGCTTTGGGGTGGACGCTTCACGACAGCTGCACGCACAGTGCGGGCACAGTCCGGCCCATTGGAGGATAGAAAATTGGCGGGCCGCTGGGAGCATGATTATCACGCCGAGAGGGGCACGCGGGGCCAATCACAACCCCACATCTCATACACTAGTACGGATAGACACAACACCCTGAGTTCTGATACTCCGAAACACACTGTGCCACTTCTGCGGGCCCCCATCCATCTTTGTTTCGTCTGCCCCAGCGTCATTGCTAATCAGGCTGGACCTACCATTTATTGGGGTTTGGATGCAACTGCAACTACGAGCGTCGGCAGCAGGCGGACAGGCAGGCTAGACATGGATATGGATATGGATGCAGCCATGGCTATGGAGACCTGGACCTATATTCGGAGCATGGCGGTGGACTGGATTGGACGCATGTGCAGAAGCAGGCAGGGCCTTGAGCATGCCGGGTGTGCTTGGCTGCCCGCCCAATCAGCAGAGGGGAGGGATTGTCTGTACGAGACATGCGCCAGAGGATGCGCCAGAGGATGCACCCAGAGCGAAAATCCCAGTGCAGCAGGGACCTGCACTCCGAGCCACAGTGCAGTGAGCAGCCACCCACCACCCCGCTGCATGGCCGCCGCTGTGCTAAGACGGTCTCATTCCACGTACCGGCCACCGACCATTGATGCCACCACCATCCATGCCCATGCCAGTCCAGGAGTTGTCTAGTCGCATGACTTGCAGCCTCTCGCGGTGATGGTCTGCAACCCCCATTGCGTCCTGACCGTATATGTATGTAATATTTTAACATGGCATTGCCTTCTAACCACGCTTGGTGCGTCCACCCACCGGCTCTTGCGTGGAACTTGCTCAAATGCTACATCCTGAACACCTCGAGCTGAACGGATGTGCATGTGTGAGCGCGCGTGTGAGAGACGACGACTCCCGCGACTCTACGAGAGGAGAGGAGAGGGGTCGCTCGTTTCTCACTGCATGCATATTGCCTGCCGTCACACCACACGGGACAGTCCCATGAACTGTCGGTCGGCCATGGCCTCTGGTGCCGCCCAGGACCTGCTTGCCATTCTCAGATCATGATTTCATCTCCCCTCGATGCAAGTACCGGGTGATCCAGTCATGTATGTGACCTGACCACCGACGCCGGAGCGCTCCCTCCACGCACCCAACCAAACCCTGCAGGTCAAGAAACCTGCAGACCGCTGTTACATGAGGGAGGTCTGGAACTGCTCACCCACACCATTCTTACTGGCTGCATTGCTCTTGACATTCCATTTCCTTCTTCTTGGGGCCGCTTATCACACCAGTTCCACCACGTGAACTTCCAATTATTGGTTCGTTGAGCCGGTGACATGAAAATTGGCACACCCAAGCAGTACCTACCCTACGAAGCTTGGGTTCCTCAACTATTGTTGTCCACCGAATCGCTCCCAGAACACATGGAGCAAAGACTACACGTCTGGCATGCTCTCGGGCGATTGGCGAGTGATTATTTGATTTATGGTCTCTGTTACTTCCAAGCTGCTACCTTTACACCCTTCTTCTGGTGTATCCATTTAATACCTCGCCTAATATGATACATGTCAGTGACAAACGCCGGCATAAACCTACACACAACCATCCCCGGTGGGGATTCCGGGAGCCCCGTCATGCTCTTGTATACCTCGTTTCATTCGCTACTACTTCCAGAGCCTTCTAATCCCATTACGACTACCATCACACAGCAACCCTCGGAATCCGTGACTGGGCCTTCCTGCATCGATAAACCTCGTACAGGGAGAGAATGAGTAGCTGCTATTATAGCGTTACGGGTATTGTATTCCGTTGTTCGTGGGTCAAACGCCATTTTATAACGTAGGGGCTTCCTGTGACAGAATCGACAAAATAGCAATTGCCAGGGACAGTCTACGTGTAGGCTCAAGGTTTTGATGATCAGGGACTTGCAGAATGATCTCCTCCCTCCTTGGTGGGAGGTACTGTATCTAGGGTGTAAATCCAGGGAATAAATGGGAAGCAACACTAGATCAGTCTCGGCCATTTACTCACCGTGTGAGTGAGGAGGTGTTCTGGTCGCTCTTGGCACTAGGCTCCTCGCTGACCTTGCCGTGCTTCTTACCGCCAGCACTCTTAGCACAAGTGCAACCCCTACAGTATCTTTTAGAATCGTGAGCAGAATTTCTGCCGTTCGTTATCACCTTTTTACGTGGTCTGTGTGAATGTGATGAGGAGCCTGTATGAGACGGAGGCTTGTAGTTGAGATTCTGCCACTTGAGTTTGCTCCATATTCTCTAAAACATCCATTGTAAAACTCCATGTACTTTCATGCGCAGTATTCTCTTGCAGCTTTAATTGGAAGTCTTCTGAAATCGGCCTCCGCTTTAACCAAATTCTACCAGGACCTGCTCAGACCGACTGGCACGGTGCTTCTGAATACTCAAGCATAGAGTCTAAGAGACCACATGTATTCCTCATCTCGACATATGATCCTTGAGAGGCGGCCTCTCTTGAATAGGGAGGTCGTTAGATGGTCGTAGCTTGGAAGGGTGTTGTTTCTGTAGAACCAAAATTGAGCTTCAGGCCGCTCGAATGACTCCTTCATGACTTGGAGTGGTGATTTCCGCAATCGTTTTCCCAATAAAGAAATCATTTTTCGTCATCAAATCGAGATTGTTTACATCTACAAGGACATCGTAGAGCTATTAGGAGCTATTTATTTTTCAGCAGAATTTCTCGCTCCTCTCTTTGGCAAGCTGACGGAACTAGAGGAGGGAACAATCCTTCCTTGTAGAAGGCCATATTTTTCATACCCTACGTTCCTGTGTAACGGCCATGAAAAGAATTTTTTTTTGATCATAAATTTAAGAGGATTTCTTGTGACTATGGCATTTTATGGAGGCTGCACGAGAAGTTGATTGGCAATGTAGATTTGTGCGTTCTGTTAATATCCCCCATCGCGGCGTCCTCGTCAAATTCACCCATTCTAACAAGCCGAGTATTTTATAGGTCAGCGATCGCCCCTTCTCAAAACTTCATAAAACATACATCCAACATGAATTAGGAATAGATGTAAAATGACACAAAATAAAAGAATCAGACATGCAAAAATATAACTGAACACATGCCCCCACACGGGATTGAACCGTGGACCTCATCATTTCGGGAATACGAGTGATGCGCTCTACCACTGAGCTATAAGGGCGATGATCGAAGGTCTTCGCTGCTTATCGTGAACTGCATACTTCATTTGCAAAATCAAGCTGGACCAATACTCACCTCATCCACAGCAAACAAACCGGCGAGATTACGCGCAACTATACATAGATCCTACTATCCTAGTGGTTCATTTTCTATTCTATCTTTCCTTCCCTACTTTATCTCTTCCCCTGTCCATAGTAGCCCACATGATCAAGGAGTTTTAGCGCTACCCCTTCCTTTTAAATGGAAAGAGGTCTCCGTTAGCCAAACCTTGTGCCTTCAGGGAAGATACCATAACTGGGTCGTTCTAACTCTGTATGGAAGCCAGCCTCACGGAGATCGATCTTTCTTCTCCTGCTTCGCCAAATATGGAGAAATCTATATATCCTTGTCTGACGAGCAATGTGGCATTTTCCAGCGAAAGGAAGAGCGTTTGCGTGCCTACCCGTAGGTAGGTAGGTACCTAGGCATGGAAAGGATAGATGACTAAGCTAACCTGGGCACAAGTTAGGTGACTAAGCTATCCTGCACACAGGTTAGGTGACTAAGCTATCCTGCGCACAGGTTAGGTGACTCAGCAGCAGTTTGGAGGACGACACGGGACCACCTGCCCACGTGCTTACGGTAGGGGGCCGACTGATTTAGGCCCAAGTAGTGGTTTCGAGGCGCTATCACTTCTGTTGATCCGCGTTCATTCTACAGATAGTATTCACGAAAATACCAAGCTACACGCACCAGCGACAAATAGTCGGATTGAATGAGATGTTTTATCGGCAGTTGATAGACTCTTTCGGTAGATCTGTAGATTGCACCATGATCGACGCTAGAGAATGTGGTCAGCTGTTACCAATCCACTTCACACGAACCAGCGGAAGAGGTGAATGGAATGCCGATGAGCCTGTATTCTATAAAATGAGAGCAAGGGGAGGCTGAGCAACAGTTCTACGTTTTGGAGTCGATATAGTGGTTTTCTCACATCAATCGAGGCGTGGTTGCTTAGTGTAAGAAGATGAGGAAAGAACCAATCTAGCGCCTTCCAAAAGAGAGTTTGGTATCACTTGGAGCCTCGGACTACATTCAACAAATGAGTGTGAGCATTTCGTCGGGATGGGCCCTTGTCTTTCGGCTTCTTACTTTCAAGATTTATCGCCCTTTTGCCCATCATCATCATCATGGCCAACGGAAGTGGTAGCGGCAGCATCCTTGTCACTAT